ATTAAGAAAGTATGACCCATACACTGGTGGTGGGGTAGAATAGAAACTATCCCTGGGGAAATCCAGACTGAAGAGTTTAAGCTATTTTAAAAATGTTTAAGGGAGGGTCTGCATGTGCCTCCTAGTCACCACATTCAGCAGACTTGAACTGCAGTCCTGTGGCTGCTGAGGTTGTGTATTGGGGTGGTAGCAGGACTGTCTAGCTTGTCTGGGGCCCACTAGAGTGGGCAGGTGGAGCTATGTCCTGCCAGAGAGCCAGCAGCGCGCACCAGGTCAGGTCTGGGCTGGGGCCTGAGGACCAGATGTGATGTTGTGGCTCTGCAGGGGACAGAAGGACAAAGTGAAATCACTGGGGTAATTCACCAAAATGATAGACACAAAGGGAAAGAGGAAAGGCAGCCAATGCATGTTCTGTTGGCCTTTTAAAAAACATGGAGTCGTTCCTTTGGCCACATATATACAAATCTACAAGAAAGATGACCTTCAAAGACATCAAGGGAATGGATACTATTCAAGAAGGCATGCCACACAAATGTTACCATAGCAAAACAGGAGGAGTCTACAATGTTACCCAGCATGCTGTTGCCAATATTGTAAACAAGCAAGTTAAGGCCAAGATTCTTGCCAAGAGGATTAATGTTTATATTGAGCATATTAAGCACTCTAAGAGATAGCTTCCTGAAACACGTGAAGGAAAATGATCAGAAGAAGAAGGAAGCCAAAGAGAAAGGTACCTGGGTTCAACTGAAGCACCAGCCTGCTTTACTCAGAGAAGCTCACTTTGTGATAACCAATGAAAATGAGCCTGGGCTCCTGGAACCCATTCCCTATGTACAGCATAGCATATAAGAGAACCAAGAGGACCCCCCCCCCCCGCCGAAGCATAAAGTGCTAGAACCTATTCTGCAGGAATTCATGGCATAATAGGTCTACACATAGCACAGAGCATAATAACCAAGAAAACTAATGGAACAGTAATACAAGGTGCTAGAACCTATTCCCCATGAATTCATGTCATAATAGGTGTACAGCATAGTACACAGCATAGTAACCAAGGAAACTGATGGTGCTGGAACCTGTTCCCCATGAATTTATGGCATAATGATTGTACAAAGCTTTTTCACATTCAGTGGCAAGGCGCCTCCCCACTAGAACCTTTTTGTTATGAGTTCATGGCATAATAGGTATTAAAAATAAAAGGCTACTATAAAAACGTTTCTCTTCATTGACTAAAATTGTGGTATTTCCTTCCTCAAAGAAGTATTAAAAGCAAGTATTAATAGTGAAAAACATATGTTTAAAGGTCTAAATATAACCATATCTGAGGAACTAAAGGAAAGTATAGAATATCAATAAAAAGATAAAAATGACATATGCACAGTTAAATATGAAAGGCAGTATAAATGTTTTTTCTACATTTCATGACTCTTTATTTTCCTACAATATGATTTGAAAATAAGTACAATTTCTAAAATGAAAAATCCATGAGAGGATTTTAACAGCAGATTGGAAGAAGCAGAAGAAAGAATCAGTGACCTTGGAAGACAGACCAATTGATATAATCCAGCATAAAGAACAGAAAGAAAAAAGAATGAAGAAAAATGAACAGAACCTCAAAGATCTTTGGGTACTGTTAAGTAATACTACCTTCTGGTGTCCAGACATTTGGAAAGGGGCAAAAATAGTATTTGAAGAAATAATGGTCTTAAACTCCTTGAATTTGATGAAAGAAAATTAATGTATATATCCAAGAAGCTCAAGGAGGGTTGATATGAATAAATCCAAATTTATATACACCATAATTATCCAAAGACAGAAAATATTGAAAGCAGCACAAGAAAATTCATCATGTACAAAGGATCTTCGATAAGATTGACAGTTGATTTATGATCAGAAACCATTGGGACTAGAAAGTATTGGGATGACATTTGAAGTGCTGAAAGAAAAAAAAGATTGACAATCAAGAATTCTGTGTCCAGCAGAACTATCCTTCAAAATGATGGTGGAATTAAGATATTTCCAGTTAAATAAATCCTGTGTGATTTATTACTAGCAGACCTGCCCCACAAGAAATACCATGAAATATTGTATTGATATTTCACATGTGAGAGTTATATTTTTTTCAGATAGCATGATACTTTCAAGGTTCATTCATGTTGCAACATGTACCAAGATATCATTCCTTTTTATGGACAGATAAAATTCCATTGTATGGATATGTCATATTTTGTTTATCTGTTCATCAGTTCATGGGGGCTAGCATTACAGAAACTATTGCAAAGGCAAAGACATGGCTTCAGGTTTGAATGATACATTGAAGCTGGGATTGAGCTCCTGTTATATAATCTAGGAGCTTCAAAGAGTTACAACTTTCTTTTGCTGAGAAGATAATTGAAAATTTCTGTCCTCCGGCTTTGCATAAAGAAATAAGGGTAACCTTAGAATAGGGTTTGAAAAAAGTTACCTTTAAAAAATCAGTGCCCCATCTTTGCACTGTACATTAATATGGGATCTGAATTTATACTATGTGTTTGGTGCATAATCTCAAACTAAGAAATAGCACCCAAACTAGGCCAGATACTGGCATAAGCAGATGCTAAATAAACATCTTTTAAGGGTTGATGAGATTTCTTAGAAAATAGCCCTCACTGAAAATATAAATTATCCTAGAGAACCAAACCATCTTGACAGAGTATTGGTACATACAACAAACAAGAGGAATATATATTACTTTTATTTAGAAATAGTATTACAGTCTGGAAAATGATAGTCAAGATAGTTAAAAGAGTAAAAAGAAGGCATATAAAGTAGAATGAGACCAGTGCTGTAGCTCATGCCTATAATCCTAGCATTTGGGGAAGCCAAAGTGAGTGGATTGCTTGAATTCAGAAATTCGAGACCAGCTTGAGCAGGAATGAGACTGTCTCTACTGAAAACAGAAAAAAAACTAGCTGAGTGTGGTGGCAGGCCCCTGTAGTCCCAGCTACTCAGAAGGCTGAGGCAAGAGGATAGCTTGAGCCCAAAAGTTTGTGGTTGCTGTGAGCTGTGACAGCACTGTACTCTACTGAGAGCGACAGTGTGAGACTGTCTCAAAAAAAAAAAAAAAAAAAAGAAAGAATGAAAGAACAAGACAGGGATTTGAAAAACTAAGCAAGGCATGGGATAGAAAGCAGTCACAGATATAAAAGTCCATATATCCAAGTCACTTTACCACAATTTATTAACTCCAATAGAAATAGAGTATGGTAGCTGTAGGAATGTGGCATGATTTCCTAAAACTCTACATAATTTAGTATATTTTTATCTCTTAGGCTGTCACATAGGGGACGTCAATATGTAAAATTCTTGAATTTAAAAAATAACTCCTGAATTATTTTTGATTGGCAGATTATCAAAGGTGTTATTGAAGGACCTGATATTGTGGTGATAACTTCTTAAATTTACAATTTAGATGTGTCTGAGTAGCGCTCACCAGATGTTTTATTATATATTTTTTCCAAATGGTTCCCCTTCACTGACTGCCAAATTAAAGGTAGGCTAGTGTGCTGCCTAAGCATTCTTTCCCCATGAAGCTTGGGGAAGATTACAGGTAGTAATGAAAATAGAGGGTTTTTTTCACTGAGGTAACTTTTGAATAAGAAATAATGATAAACTTCGTTATACTTCTCTTTTTGCAACATTGACTATTTGCAACTATTGACTTTCCGTATTGGATGAGTAATATAGTATTTTAGTTTAGTCACTTTTTATTATTAGATATGAAAAAATATTTCAAATTCATTTTATTTTTTAAAAGCCTATTATTTCTATATATAGTATTATCTTATGTATGGTATTATAACAGTCCCTCTCCTTTGGTGTGTATAGATACCTATTCTTTGGATATAGAAATCCTATTTAGGGAATTAGTGTGACACTAAGCATGCTGTACAAACTTCTTTGAATTACTATGCCTCTGTTTAACTTTTAAAATGATTCTTCCTTGAGAAGCATTCATAAATTGTTTCCTTATATCTCATTACAATTTAACAATAAAATGCACTACTAGAACTTCAGTTCATTGTTAATGTCTTGCTTAATTTGTCTCTATTATTAAATTAGGCACTTTTGTTTTTTAAAGGCAAACCTACTTAAATGTGAACATTACAATGCTCTAACTATAGAGGTGATTTCTGAACAAATGCTACGCAACTCCCGCCAAAGCCTGGGAACCTTATATTCTCTTTTAAGTTTATTTATTGCTAGTGTTTGTGGTATTCACTCCTCTACTTCCTTTTTGGCTTGAATGATTCACTGTTCAAATAGTACTAACCTGGGGCTTTGATTTTTTTACTGGAATATGCCTACTTCCCTTTTTAACTGGTAGCTGAGTTCTGTCTCTCTTTCCTAAGAAGTGCTGGGGAAGTACAGATTCTCCAGGTTTGTGTTCAAATTTATAAATACAGAAATGCTGCTGGGTTTTCCTGCTCTTTATGGTGCTTTTCTTCACGCTTTCATCATTGGCACACTTGCTGGAAATTCTTACAAGTGTGGTTAATTACAGAATTTGTGAAAAATTGTTTAACTTTTGGTAAATTGTTTTGGGTATTTTTCTCTGAGGTTCTGTCAGTGTTTCTTGCAGTGTTGCCAACTATATGCTAAGTATATTTGAAACTTGATAATGAGTCTTTTAAAAAAAATAACTAAATTATACAAATTATTTTTTAAATTTCTCTATTATTTAATTACAAATTTTTTGTATGGTGTTAACTCACAGTATTTTGAGTACTGGAAAAACATGCTGAATACCTGAAAATGACCTTTATTTTTTTCCTATTATTTTTATGTAGTTTCCTCAAGTTAATTGGAAAAATTGACATTTAACTTGTATCATTTGATTTTTTGAAATATACTCTTAAGATAGTTGGCAGCATTGTCTTTTATTCTCCTTTGGTTTGGGCTTATATAATGTCTTTTTCTTTTCTCCATTTTTTTTTTTTTTTTTTTTTTTGCTTCCTAAGGTCATGATGACACAGCACCATGTGCAATTTTGAGAAATATGGATAGTTTTAGCTTTCTCCAACACCCAGTCCACCAGAGGAGCTTAGAGATTCTGCAGAGATGCAAGGAAGAGAAGTACAGTAAGGCTACAAAACCTGATAAACTCTGTGTCATTACATATCCAGTTGGAAATGGAAACCAGGAGCATTTTACACCAGGGTGGGACATAGACTGCATAGGCAACATCATCTCCATATTCTCTGAGCAGTCTCAGGATATTTTCATTGAGTCCTTAGTTATTTAGTTATTTCTCTTGGAAATGCTGATACACTTGTTCTTTTAAATTCAGTGCCTAACCTATTTTCTTATGATCATTACTTGGTTACAATTACCGTATTAGGTTCCATTTGTCTTTCAAGAAGCCAAGTGATAGACAGAAATGAACAATGCTTTTATTCCTTCTCATTTTTAATGAAAAGCTTTATTGAGGTCTAAAATAAGCTGCATGCAAAGGGAATAATTTGGTAAGTTTTGACATATGTAGGAACCCACGAAATTATCTCCACAATCAAGATAATGAACGTACTCAGTACTTCCTCATATCCCTTTCTAAATCTGTCAGATTTTCATACTTGCTTATCCTGAAATTTCAACATTAGCAATATTGCTTTTGTGTATCATTGGTAAATTCACTTAGTTTGATTACAACTAGCCTTTTCTATGTCTAATTTAGAGCAAAGCCACCACGGTAATGTTTTGATGTAAGGAAGAATAACAAAATCATGGTGCATGTTCTTTTTTGTTTGCTTTTTAAATAAAATCGGTGCAAAAAGATGCCCTTGGTCTCCATTTCCTCCCTTGCTCTTTGTTGTACTCACTCTGCATGAAAATTGGTTCTTTTGCTTATTGTGAGATTATAGTTATTGGGTTATTGCTGTTATGAAATGAATAGATCCTTTAGAATACTCAAAGCTTAAGTCAGCAATGTTGCATATAATTGATCTAAATTACCTACAAAATCTATTCTGAACTTCTAATAAATTACCACAGACCCAGTTTGCTAATTTAATAGTATTCTGGTTGATATTTCATGAAATTTTAGCATACAATGGTCAATGAAAATAGAATATAAATAGAATTACTAAAAGCAAATGTTGCTGATCGTATTCACATCTGCTTACTTTTACTGTCTTGTTATAAGAAAATATTTAATGTATTTTGAAAAACAATATTAAAAATATTTTCTCATTTTAGAAAGAACAAAGGTAAGTATTTCATTTTAAAAAGACATCCTTAAACGTTATTCTTAATTATCATTGTTGTTTCTAAAGATGTACAAGTCCTTATACTGATTATTTCCCTATTCTGTATCTTTTAATCCATGGCACATAATTTAAGACAGTTTAAAAATCTTAGAGTTTAATTTTTAAGAGTTAACTTGTAACTCTTAAATAGTTAGAAGTTGTTTATTTGCTTTGTTTTTTTTTTAATGACTCTTTATTTACCCTGAAAGCTCCACACCTGAGATTTCTATATTTGTAGATGTTGGCGTTTTTCCATTATTTTGTGTAATTTATTCCATTTCCAACAAGAGTATTAGCAATAATTAAGATTTTCTGTCATATAAAATTATAAATTCATATTTGGGGGACTGTTTTTATCATGTCATGGAAATGCCAACTTTAGGTAATGGTGAATTGATGAGGTGAATGAACCTTCTGTAAGTAACAATGATAAAATCTGGAAAAAGTTTAAAAATAATTATTTGAAAGTACTGAGAAAAGACCAAAAGTAGGCAGAAAATAGAGTAGAGTTTATTCTTTAAAGTAAGTAATGTATATGAATTGAGTTTGTAGCTCTGTCTACAAGGGGCTCTATAGCTCCCATAGATCCAGAGATGACAACCATAGCCATACTGTGTTAAGATGTTACAGGACAAAACTGAAAACTGTTAGAGTGACTGGGAATATAGGAGGAATATCCTGTAACTACGAGATCAGCTACAAGAATAAAATTCAAATTTAGAGTAAGAACTCTGTCCACATTTCTTGCTGACTGCTGTGAGAATGGGGTGGGTGGGGCTTGGAATGACAAGGGTCAGAAAAGTAGTAGAAACCAAATAGGTGACAATCTTTGAAAGACATAATTGCATAGGTTCAATTTGCAAATTTGTTGCTTTTTTGACCAAGTTTTTTGCCTATACATGAGTTAGGTGGGAGAAAGCTAAAATTTTTCTGCCTTAATTGAAGTCCCATAGGAAATGAAAGAGAAAGGGGTAGAAAATTACTTAAAGAAATAATGGCAGAAAACTTTCCATATATAGTTAAAAAGACACTAGCTTACAGATTCAAGATCTGTGACCTCCAAGGAGAATTTTACAAAACAAAACAATACCTTGGGAAATTATAGGCAAACTGCTAAATGTCAAAAGCAAAGAAAAAATCTTGAAAGCAGCCAGGAAAAAAATATGGCACATTAAATACAGGGAAAAAATGATATGGTTAACACCTGACTTCTCAGTAAAATTAATGGAGACCAAAAGGTATATCAAAAAGCCATGATTAGAGGGGGTGGAGCAAGATGGAGTGTCAGAGGGATCATTAGGCTGAGCTTTCTTAGAACAGCTAGGGAAAGAGAGAATTCAGCCATACCTGGCATGGGGACCTTAACCTAACGTCATAGCTCAGGGAGCACAGTGAGGAGGTAGTAAGCTGGATATGGCATATGATCTGCAGTGGTGGAAATCTGATGTATTAGGCAAGTGATTATGACTGGCTGGGATTGACTGGCCCCCCACAGAGGCCTAGGACAAGAGGAAGCCTTAAACAGTTGTTGGGGGGAAGCTATGCATTGAGTGGAAAGCTTGGAAGAGTGGGTGGCCTAGAACAATATGCAATTTGGAGTGGATTTGCCATTGGTTTGGTGGCTGGCAAGGCAGCCATACTGGGAAGGTCTCTGCAGCCAGGGGGCTGCCATTGTGAGAAGGTCATGAGAAGGTCTTAGCAGGGGCCTAAAGCACTGTCATCTTAATTCTGCTTGCTGGGATCAGAATTCCACCCTTGGGGTAGGCTGAGGGATTCCCGTACCCCATGGGAACTGGAGTCCAGAGGCATTGTGAGAACTGTCCCTGAAGGATTCTTATAAGCTTTTAAAATCCCAACCAAGCAGGGTCTGAATGCTGAGGAAATAATCAGGCAATAACTGAAGGCAACTAAGTTTGGAATAAGGACCACTGAGGTTGCTGGCTGTGCTAGCTCCTAAAAAAAAAAAATAAAAGTGCACTTGGTGTCCTGGTGACATATTGCAACATACTGTCATCAAGAGCAAGGACTTCTATTGAAACAAAGGAGACAGTGAGAAGGAAAAAGGAGAACAAGGAGGTGAACAAGAAGAAAGAACACAAGGAGGAATCAATAGAAAAATTGAGGCAACATGAAAAACCAAAACAGAGGACCTCCACCCAGGAACCATGAGGCTGCTACTGCAGAAGACTCTACCTATAAAGAATTAATGGACTTGACAGAAAGGGAATTTAAACTATGGATGATAAAGACAATAAAAGTAATGAATGAGAAGCCAGGTGCAGTGGCTCATGCCTGTAATCCCAGCACTCTCGGAGGCTCAGGTGGGTGGATTGCCTGAGCTCACTGGTTCGAGACTAGCCTGAGCAAGAGTGAGACCCTATATCCAAAGTATCCAGGTATAGAGAGACCCCATATCCAAAAACATCCAGGTATAGTGGCAGCTAATTGGGAGGTTAGGGCAAGAAATTCTCTTGGGCCCAAGAGTTTGAGGTTGCTGTGAGCTATGATGCCATGATACTCTACTGAGGGTGACAAAGTGAGACACTTTCTCAAAAAAAAAAAAAAAGGGCTCGACAAGAAAATGGAAAGACAGAACTAAAAGTTGGATGAGAGATACGTAGATTATAGAAAGGATATGGCAGAACTTAAGGAAATGAAAGAGACAATCAGGGAATGTAAAGATGCAGTAGAAAGTATCAAAAATAGGTTAGACCATGGAGAAGAAAGAACCTCAGCACTAGAGGATAAAGTTTTTGAGTTAACTCAGGTAGAAAAGAAGAGAGAGAAAGCAGAACAGATGCTTAGAGAACTATGAGACTCCATAAAGTGTTCATATATACAAATAATAGGGGTTCCTAAAAGGGAAGAAGATTGTCCCAAAGGAATGGAAGCCTGACTGGAGATTATCATAAATGAAAACTTCTCAAGTTTTACTAAAGACTCCAACACATTCCTTTCAGACAGATAATCAAACCCTGGGTCATCTCAACTAAGAGCTTCTCCAAGACACAGTGTAATGAACCTGTCCAAAGTTAAGATGAAAGAAAAGTTCTACAAACATCCAGGAGTAAACACCAATTGATATAAAGAGGCAGAGCCATTTGGATGACAGACTTTTCAACTGAAACCTTTGAAGCCAGAAGAGCATGGTCATCCACCTTCAACATTTTTTTTTCTTAAGACAAGTGTCTCACTTTGTTGCCTTTGGTGGAGTGCCGTGGTATCATAGCTCACAGAAACCTCAAACTCTTGGGCTCAAGAGATCCTCTTGCCTCAGCCTCCCAAATAGCTAGGACTACCCATGCCTGCCACAATGCCTGGCTATTTTTTATGTTTTTCAGAGATAGGGGTCTCCCTCTAACTCAGGCTGTTCTTGAAATTGTGAACTCAAGCAACCCACCCACTTCGGCCTCTCAGAATGTTAGAATTATACATGTGAGCCACTGCACCCAGCCCCACATTCAACATTCTTAAAACAATTTTCAGCCCAGAATTCTGTATCCTGCTAAACTAAGCTTCAAAATTAATGGAGAAGTAAAATTGTTTGAGGATATACAAGCACTGAGGACATTCACCACAACAAGACAAACTCTACAGGAAATAGAAATACTTAGACTTATTCTCAGTACCGACCACCACAGTGGACCGCCAGCAGAGTAAACACCCAAAAGCTAAAGGTTAAAACTTAGCTTCCACAATGGTGCAAAGGATAAAACTACACAGTGGACTTTCACAAATAAGATTAATAGAGCTCTACCACACAATTTTCTCAATAAATATCAATGGAGTAAATTATCTCAATAAATGTCAATGGACTAAATTAACCACTGAAGAGG